TGGTTGATACGCCTCTTGTTTGGTTTGGAATCAGAGATTTTAACCAACTCCCCAGGTGAACTGTCATTAGTTCACCGACCCGGGTTTTGGCTTTTTGTCCCCTTACTCAGGTGAGAAATCACTTCCGCCACGAGAGAGAGCACTGAGTAACGCTTCCTCAGCAGAGTATATTTGAGACGCTTGTTCTTATGGGCGCATTTCGCGAGGTCCAAGGGAAAGAAAACTGGCCACCAACTAAGGCACCCACTTCCGACCATACTGAGGCTGATGCTAATAACTTGCAGCCCTATGTTGTTGGTCCCTGTGAAAATCTCTTGCTTTAAACGAAAATTGAAAAAAAAACTCGATTTTCTCTTTTAATCGGCTGACGGTTTTTGTCGGAAATAAACCTCAACGTGCCAACCAGCGGCCGTTGTGCTAGGTACTTTTATCTGTCCTACGTGAGCATAGCTTTCTTCATCGAGTCACTGCATATCCCAGCTGATGATGATTTAAAAACACCATTGTCTAAATACGAATAATGTTTTTTCTTCCGCCGTCCGTAGTGTAGTTTTCAAAATCATAAAGTTGAACTGACTGGATTGCTGTAACATGCGTGGTCACTTACCTTAACGTTTGTTTATTTTACATCTGATAACTAATGCCAACCGAGCTTTCTGTGGCGGTAGTGACTAGATGGTTAGGTTATTAAGTTATGACCCGGAAGTCTCGCGTTCGAACCGCTCCACCGCCACTCGTCTGCTCTATTTCTGTATTTTTCCAAGCAGCCTTTCTATGGCCGCGGCACCCTTCCTGAATGTAAAGTAAAAAGACATTACCATAAACATTCGACATGCCATTCGTAATGAATGCAGTATGGGGGATGTGACTGCTCAGAAAGCTAAATTTGTCCCGTTAATCGAAATAGTTTCCAGACAATATGATACTCCACGTGTCTCTGCGATCATGAATTCTTTCACAATGTTGATTTATTCGCTCCCTCCCTTTTTTGTCCCGCTNCCGAGACACCGTGGAATACACTTTCCCAACTCGTAACGGGTGCAAGAATTTCTGGCGTAAATGTATCGAACAACATGCGTTCTTCCGTTCCATCACATCCCTATTCCCCGTGAACGGTCTGAACGGACGCCCGACCGGTCTGTTTGATTCATTTCGCT